CACACAAAGTGGTTGCCAGTGGGGTTAGGCCCCTGTTTCACCAGCATGGGGCTTCTTCCCAGTTCCTGTGAACGTATTGATTTATTAGGGGCCTCCATATACATTACTCAGCTCCCACTTATAAGTGAAAACATACAGTATTTTTCTTTCTGATTCTGAGTTGTTTCACTTAAGAACATGGCCACCAGTTCCATCCATGTTGCTGCATAGTGAATTGGATTTGGAATACCATGATATTCTGTATATATGTAATTGTCAGTTTCAGCTAAAAGAGCATGGCAATGGCTGTGAAAGTACAATACTCTAGTTAAGTTTCCAGAGAAAGGAATTTTCATTACTTTTTCCTTCCTGTGGCAGTGTGGGAAACATGGACACCAAATAACTCTAAAATATTGTATCTATAATTTCTAGTCTGTATATGCTTTAAGCCTAAGTGAACTATTATGAATATCAGTTATGTACAAATACTGTGCTAGCTACTCTCAATTATCATATTAGTTTCTGACATAACCCTGTGTACTAGGTGGATATAATTGTAGTTTTACAGATAAAGAAACTGAAACTAAAATATGTGAAGTAATTTCCTGAGTTCCTAAAGGTGATTGATCACGAGGCTCTTACTCTAGAACCTGAGCATTTAAATAGGCCAGTGGTTTTTCATTTTCGCTATATAAAACAGAAATATTTTCGGTGATATTCATGTGTTCCACAAACATTTGCTTGGATTTTTATCTTAATATACAGTTGCCCCCTGGAAAACATGGGTTTGAACTGCGTGGGTCCACTTATACAAGGTGTGTCTTCCACCTTTGCCATCCCTGAGACAGTACGACCAACTCCTCCTCTTCTTTCTCCTCCTTATCCTGCTTAAAATGAAGATGAGAAGAATGAAGACCTTTATGATGATCTACTCCTACTTAATGAAAAGTAAATATATTTTCTTTCCTTATGATAGTCTTAACATTTTCTTTTCTCTAGCTCACGTAATTGTAAGAATACAGTATATAATATATACAGCATACAAAATACGTGTTAAGCAACTGTTTATCAGTAATTATAGGGACAGAAGGCAGAGAAATTGTGGGCAGAAGAGGACGGGTCCCTGCTGAGGGCCCTACCCTCAAGCCTGGAACTGAGGCCCAGAGTGAGAACACACATCCCTGTTTTCCCACTTGAATGTTGCCTTTTCCAAAACTATCCATGGCCTGCCCCACCCCCCATCCTGTGCCCATTTAAAACCCCAGGCTCTGTCACCAGAGAGAGGAGAATAGGAGAAATACTGGGACATCAGAGACTATGGTCAGAGAGAAGCAGCTTGACTTCAGAGGGACAACTTGATGGCGTAGCTTCAGAGAGGAGTCCAGTTGGGGATGGTCGGACTCTAGGGGAAGATTATCTTCCTCCTCCATCACCTTTTCAGCTCCTCTTCTTTCTGAGAGTCACTTTCATCAGCAATAAAATCCCCAGCACTTATCATCCTTCAAATTTGTTCATGTGACCTCATTTCTCCTGGACACTGGAAAAGAACTCAGGCATGGTGCAAAAGGCTGTCACACTGACCTTCCACTGAGCTGTTGACACTTCAGCTATCCGTAGATGGCAAAGCTAAAAAGCACTGATTGTAACGCTCCTTCTGGGGCTTCAGGGGTCGTGGGCATCCCCCTAGATGCTGCTGCAGGGCCAATATGAAGTTCATTCCTTCCAGCACCCAAAAGCACTCACCCCAGCTCCTGCACCTTCTCACCTGCGCACTCCCTCTCATGAGGGGTTGAGCACAGCGGGGTAAAACTGAGTGGAGCTCACCCCTGCTGGCATCTGTGCACTCCAGTTTCCACCTGTGAAGGAGTCAGGGAAAATTTCCTGCTTCAATAAGGCCTCTGATGAATAGTAGGCTTAGTTGAATATTGGGAAAATCAAAAGTAATAGTGGAATTTTGACTGTGTGGGGAGTCAGCAACCCAACCCCTGTATTATTCAAGAGTCAACTGTATATTGAGTGTATAGTAAATTATTATTCAAACTTTCATAATATTAATAACTGGCACATTCAAATGTACTATGTACAAAATTGTAACATGATGAAGACCAGCAGCACATTAGTTTTTGCTGCCTCACGTTCTTTTCTACTTTTGTCACCTCCCCAAATAGAAACCCATCTTGCCATTTGTCTTCTTTCATATTCTCATTCTTACACAGTTTTAAGATATTTTCTACCAAATCAATGTCCTGTTTCTTTCCTCCCTTCTAAATTATTTTTATCAGTTTCTATAAAACAATCTTGGAAGCAAAGCACCACTTCTCTTATCTATTCTCAAAACTTTTCCTTTTTCCACTCCTGGCATTAACAGAAGCCTGACTTTTTTTGTAATACATGATCCCCCAACAATTTACCGAAATTGAGACTTTTTCTTCTTCCACATAATGTACACTTAAATTTGAAGAGTGTCACTAAGTATCCTCTTACACCCAATATAGCCTCCATGCCATGAATCTATGTTTTAGTAACCATAAAGATTGCTCTGGGTCCCAAAGTCTTTCATAATCATTGAAGATTTTAGTATCTGCCTCATACTTTCCCTCTCTACTTTATTTCCCACCATCATTCCTATTAACTATTGTATTCATGTGGGTGACTAGAGTTTTAACATGAATATTCAGTTCTTTGACTTCAGCATCTACAATCATCTTTTATCTCCAGTCTTACCTTATATCAATCTCTTTCTTGCATGGTCACATTATAGATTTAATCACAACTCAGATCTTCTCCAGCTTTGAAATCTTGATGGCTTGTGATTTTACTTGCTATATAATTATTATTTGACTTCAAGGAGATCTCCTAATTCTTGGTCATTATATTTTCTCTCAGTATTCTGGAGCAAGTAAATGTGAGATCCCAAGCAGGAAGTGCCCAGTTGATTCCTAACCCACAGAATCTGTAAGAATAATAATAGAGTTGCTTTTTTATGCTACTATATTTTGCTGATTTGTTAGGCATTGATAATAAAGAACAGTTTCCAATTTCAGCTGAGTCTTCAATGAAATACTGCAATTCATTTACATGTTTTTATTTACCTATCTCTTCCAACCACCTCAATATTGATAACTATGACTTTTATCAAGTCTCCATGGCTAATCTCAACCCTGATCATGCTTGGATAAATACTCTAACTCATATAAAAGGAAAATTTAGATCAGATCATTAAAGTGTTATATATTTGAGTTCTCTCCATTCCTACACCATCACCCCACCAGAACTAGTCCCTCTATACACATCAAACCTCATATTTTCTCTTTATCTTCAGAAGGTAAAGTGCCCTTTTAGCTGTGTCTTTTACCAGACCATCTTTATTTCTTTTCTCCTTCCTTTTCCATGTTTCCTTCCTTCCCTCCCTCCTTCTTTCCTTCTTTTCTCATTTTATTTTTCTTGTCTTTCTTTCTATTTTTACTCAGAACCTATGTATATGTAAGGAACTATGCTAGACACTATGCTTATAAATATCTGTTCTGAAAAGCTTTGCCCTTATGTAAAGGAGGGCATAATAGTTTCACTACTGTGTTCTTCCATAAGCCGTCCTGTAATATTGGAGAGTTTTTCCACTTCTTCTACTCTGCTGATAATATCACTACATCTCATAAACCTGCTCAATAACTTAACATTCTTTCACTTAGATGAAATTAATGTAACATAAAATTGACCATTATAAAGAACATCCATATTAAAACTAAGAAATACCACAAATCAATAACCTAAACTCACAAATTTAGAAACTAGTAAAAGAAGAGCAAAATAAATAGAAAGCAAGCAGAAGGAAATAATACAAATTAGAGCAGAAATAAATAAATTAGGAAGTAGAAGCAATACATAAATCCAACAGTTGCCTCTTGGTAAAGATAAACAAAATTTAGAATCCTTTAGCTAGACTTTCCAAAAAAAGAAAAAAAGAGAGAGTTGACTCAATTTAATAAAATCAGAAATAAAAGAGATATCACTACTGACTTTATAGAAATAAAAAAAAAGTATAAGGGAATAGTATAAACAATTATATAACAACAGATTGTCTAACCTAAACAGCATGGACAAACTCCTAAATAGATACAAAGCCAACATAGGGAGAAATAGATAATCATTGTAGACCTGAATTGGCAATTTGAATACTTTCCACAGATGAAAGCACAGGACCAGACTGCTTCCCTGATAAATTCTATAAAATCTAAACAAAAATCAATACCAATCCTTCACAAACTCTTTCAAAAATTATATAAGGAGAAAAGACTTACCACATTCTACAAGGCTAGTATTACCCTGATAGCAAAACCAGGCAAAGACATCATGAGAAAGAAAAAAAAATGAATACAGATATTTCTTATGAATATTGGCTCATGATTCCTAAAGAAAATACCAGCTACCTAAATCAAGCAAAATATGAAAAAATAAATTATACACAAAGACCAAATGGGATTTATCCTGCAATTCAAGGTTGGTTTGACATCCAAAAATCAATCAATGTATTACAGTGTATTACACCATAGGATGAACAAAAAATAAAACGCTTTCTTGACACAAGAAAAGTGTTTGACAAATTCAACACTTAAGAAACTAGGAGTACAAAATAACCTCCTCAAGCTGCTAGAAACCATCTACAAAATACCTGCAGGTAATATCAGAATTAACAGTGAGACTAAATGTTTTCCCTGTAAGATCAGGAAGAAGACAAAGATGTCTGCTCTTAAAATTCCTGATCAACATTGTACTGGAGGTTCTAGTCAGTGCAATTGCATAAGAAAAGGCAATAAAAGGCATTTAGACATAACAGAAGAAATAAAAGTACATTTGAAGATGACATAATCTTGAATATAGAAAATCCTAGGTAGTTTATTGAAATCATGTTAGATATAATAAACATAAAAACATAATAAAAACGATGAACTTAGAATTAACCTTAAAATGACCCAAACACAAAAATCTACTTACAATATCATCAAAAAGAATAGAATACTTCTCTTTTTCCGGCTGGAACCATGGAGGGTGCAGAAGAGAAGAAGAAGAAGGTTCCTGCTGTGCCAGAAACCGTTAAGAAAAAGCGAAGGAATTTCGCAGAGCTGAAGATCAAGTGCCTGAGAAAGAAGTTTGCCCAAAAGATGCTTCGAAAGGCAAGGAGGAAGCTTATCTATGAAAAAGCGAAGCACTATCACAAGGAATATAGGCAGATGTACAGAACTGAAATTCGAATGGCGAGGATGGCAAGAAAAGCTTGCAACTTCTATGTACCTGCTGAACCCAAATTGGCATTTGTCATCAGGATCAGAGGTATCAATGGCGTGAGCCCAAAGGTCCGAAAGGTATTGCAGCTTCTTCGCCTTCGTCAAATCTTCAATGGAACCTTTGTGAAGCTCAACAAGGCTTCAATTAATATGCTGAGGATTGTAGAGCCATATATTGCATGGGGGTAGCCCAATCTGAAGTCAGTAAATGAGCTAATCTACAAGCGTGGTTATGGCAAAATCAGTAAGAAGCAAATTGCTTTGACAGATAACGCTTTGATTGCTCGATCTCTTGGTAAATATGGCATCATCTGCATGGAGGATCTGATTCATGAGATCTATACTGTTGGAAAACGCTTCAAAGAGGCAAATAACTTCCTGTGGCCCTTCAAATTATCTTCTCCATGAGGTGGAATGAAGAAAAAGACCACCCACTTTGTAGAAGGTGGAGATGCTGGCAACAGGGAGGACCACATCAACAGGCTTATTAGAAGAATGAACTAAGGTGTCTACTATGATTATTTTTCGAGTCTCGTCAGCTTAATAAACAGTACCTGCTCTCAAAATGAAATACATTGTTGTATTTGTGATTTTTTTTTGTTATTAGCCTGCCTCTGTCTTCCCTTAACTATTGTGGTAAGTCTGGTGTGTGATAAAATTAAGCCAAATCAACTGCCCGTTTTGTGCAAAATCAGGATCGAGTCTGAAAAACATCTCTTAGGTTTTAAAAAGGCTTTTCTCTACAAAAGATTTTGTTTTTAACCGTGCTGAGTGATTCAAAATGGGTTTATTCTAAGCCTGTTTCACAAGCATTTGTACATAATTTGTAGGTATGGTAATCCAACTTTGGTTTATGGAAAAAATTGAATTCAGTTTCTAAAATTTATTTCTTGGGCCTTCGCTTGTTTATAAACTACCATATAAATGTGTTGTTTTTCTTTTGCCTTCAAAAAAAAAAAAATAGAATACTTGTGAATAAATATATCTAAATAAATGCAAAGCCTGTATACAGACAACCACAAAGCATCAGTAAAATAATTTAAAGACCAAATTAAAAGGAAAAAAACACCTCACGCTCATGGATTGGAAAACATAATACTGTTAAGATGGCAATATTTTAAAAGTTGTTCTACAGATTAAATGCTTTTCCTGCCAAAATCCAAACTGTCATTTATTTGCATAAATTGATAGGCCAATTATAAAATTTATAATGAAATATGAGTGTAGGTGTATTAGTTATCTATTGCTTATGAAACAATTTACCATAAAATTAGTTACTTAACAAGACAAATACCAGGCTGCATTCCTCTGGAGATGCTAGGATAAATGCATTTCCTTGCCTTTTCCAGCTTCTAGAAGCTGCCCACATTCATTGACTTGTGGATTTATCACTCTGATTTTTATTTATGTTATTAAATCTCCTTCTTTGACTCTGACCGCACTGTTTTCTTCTTATAAGTATTCTTGTAATTATGTTGGACCTATCTAAATAATAGCAATAAACTCTTCATTTTGAGATAGTTATCTTTATTACATATGCAAAGTCCCTTTTGCCATGCAATGTAACATGTTCAGAGGCTCTGGGGATTAGAATATCTGTGGAGGGTACAAATTCTGTCTACCAGATCAAGAGACTCGGAATTGCCAAAAAATGTCTTTTAAAAAGCAAAGTCTCAGGATTCACTTTTCCTGGTTTCAAAACTTATCACAAAGCTCTAATAATCAATACTGTATGATACTGGCATAAGGGTAGACATATAAATCAATGAAATATAATTGAGAGTCCAAAAATAAACCCTTAGTTTTATAGTCAGTTGGTTTTTGTCAGATGTGCCAAGACAATTCAATAGGGGAAAATAGTATTTTCATAACATGGTGCTGAGACTACTGAACATGCAAGATAATGGAAATGGAGCTCTATCTCACAAGATGTAAAAAATGAACATGAAATGCATAAAAATCCCTAATTATGAGAGCTAAAACTATAAAACTCTTAGACAAAAATATAGAAGTAAACCTTTATGCTCTTGAGTTAGGCAATGATTTTATGGATATGAAATCAAAGGAGAAATGGCAAAAGAATAATAGGTAAGTTGGATTTCATAAAAATTTAAAACTTTGTCATTCAAAGGATATCATCAAGAGACAAACAAAATGGGAGAAACTTTTACAAATCATTTATGTGATAAAGAATTTATATCCAGAATATATAAATAACTACAATTCAAAAATGAGAAGACAAATAACATAATTTAAAAATGTGTAAAAGATTTTAATGGATATTTCTTCAAAGAAGATTAAATAAATGACCAATACATGCATGAAAAGATTATCAAAATAATTGGTCATCAAGAAAATGCAAATTAAAACTACGGTGAGATATATATCATCACACTCACTAGGATGGTTATAATGAAAAAGATGTAAAATAACAATTGTTGTTTAGAATAGAGAGAAATTAGAATCCTCATACATTCCTGGTGGGACTGTAACATGCTATACCCTCTGTGGAAAATAATCTGTCAGTTTCTCAAAATATTAAATATAAAGTTTTCACATGACCAACAATTCTACTCCTAGGTATGCAACCAAAAGAAATGAAAACTTATGAACACACAAAGATGTGTGTGTATGTTCATAGCAGCAATATTTACAATTGCCAGAAAATGGAAACAATGCAATGTCTATCAATTGCTGAATGGATTAAAAAAATTTGAATGTCAATACTATGTAATGCTATTTGCCAATACAAATAACAAAGTACTGATACATGCTGTAACACAGATGAGCTTTGATTTCATTATGCTAATTACAGAATCCAGATACAAATGCTACATGTTGTACAATTCCACGTACACAAAATTTCCAGAATTAATACATTTTTAGATAATAAATGTAAGATTATTGACAATCTAGGGCTGGGGTGCTGGAGGAATGGAGAGTGACTAATAAGTTGTGTGAGATTTATTTCAGAAGTGGTGAAAGTTTTCTAAAATTGCTAGTGGTGATGGTTGCACAACTCTGTAAATATATTTTAAAAAATTAAATCACGTACTTTAAATGTGTGAGTTGTGTATTATGTAACTCACATCTCAATAGATATAAAATGTATAAAAGGTTTTATATCTCAATTTGATTTTTACAAAATTAAATGAAGATTAGAAAGACAGACAACAGCGTGCTATGAGAAATCCACCACAATACTATATAATACCAAAAGTGTTGTAACTACTCATATTTAATATGCATTGTTCAGAAACCATGTGCACCATAATTCCATGGAATAACTCCACAGGACATTTAGGTCTACCTAACCTGATTTCAAAGTGTACTTTTTCAATTTCTCTGGGCATGCAGATGCTGATATTAGTATGGGATTATGAAAATTCTGAAATAAATGCTGCTTACACTTTGAATTTTCTTTGTATTAAAAAAGAAGAAGAGGTAATTCATGATAACTTTATGGTGAGTCAGAGCTTACAGCATGACTGGATCTGGATGGAGCCAAATTAATAAATGAAAACTGGGCCAGATGCAGTGACTCATGCCTGTAATCCCAGCACTTTGGGAGACTGAGGGACTAGGATTGCCTGAGGTCAGGAGTTCAAGACCAGCCTGGCCAACATGGCAAAACCTTGTCTCTACTAAAAATACCAAAATTAGCTGGGCATGGTGGTACACACCCATGATCCCAGCTACTCAGGAGGCTGAGGCAGGAGAATAGTTTGAACCTGGGAGGCGGATGTTGCCATGAGCCAAGATTGCACCGCTGCACTCCAGCCTGGGCAATGGAATGAGACTCCATCTCAAAAAATAATAATAAAATACAATAAATGGAAACGGAGCATTTTATTTATTATCTAGGGGCTTCTACATGTTTGAGTAAATTCTAACAGCTAAGTGTATAAAGTGTCTAGATTATTAGTGAAACTTTTCATTTTTTCTCAGGCTTTTCACTATATTGCTGATCAAAGTTTGGTCTATTAGTCTGGGATACATCAGAGGCAATCATGACTTATGAACGAGTATGTAGGAGTGGTACTCCTGACCAACTTATTTATACATTTGTTGAGTTTGATAGAAAATTTTAGCCACAAACTTTAACAAACTGAAAAAAAAAATATCCTAGCTTATAAACATAACTCTAGCCTTTGTTTAAGACCATATGCTCTGCCTGGTATTAAGAGAAGAGGTCACTAGCAATTCTAATACAATTCTGTCTGTAATTCATGAAGTAAGCTGGATGAATGGCAAGGAAAGCTAAAAAAAGAAAATCATTCATCATCTTTGTTGATACTGAACTTATGCAAAGCCCATAGAGTACCAAAAAGCCATTTAGATGCATTTTCCATGAAAAGAAATTGCATCACTAAGGATTCCAGGCCAAGAACAAAGTAGAAGAGAAAATCGTGCTGCTTCAGCTGAAGAATTTCAAAGATAATTTAATCTCCAAAGGACATTTCACAGACTGAATTCAGAACATCACTTAGCATATGCAGTCATGTTGTGCTGCTACTATATCAAGAAGATTGCTCATGCTAATTGAAAAGAATGAAAAGCATAGTAAGTAATGAAAAGATAGAATGTCTCCTTCATGTCTCCACCATTTGCCTAAGTAGTCTGTCTTCTTATATGTTGATAATCACTAATGATATCAAATATAGCTAATAAAATTACTTACATTTTGAAATCTGACAATATACAACAGCAAATTTTATTTAACTTCAAACAAACTCCCTATTTAAATGAAGGATCCTCAGAAATAATGAAATAAGCCAACAATGTTTTCAACAGTAATTTACTTTGGAAAAAAATGATGTTAATGGAAACAACAGATAATTAAAGGACATCTCAACACTGTTATCTGACATATGCTTTAAACTAGCTTAGAACAGCAGTATCCAATAGAAACACAATGTGAGTATCATACGTAATCCTAAATTTTCTAGAAGCCACATTAAAAAGGTAAAAGGATATAGGTTAAATTATTTAATAGTATATTTTATCTAACCCAATATATCTGAAACGTTAACATTTAAAACATATACCCAATATAAATATTAATTAGATAGTTTACATCGTGTTTTCATAATATGTCTTCAGAACATGCCAATTATTTTAAATTTTTATTACATTTCAATGGGGGCAGGCCACATTCTAAATGTTTGATAGCCACATGTCATTAGTGGCTCATGTATTGTACAGCACAGGCTGAATTGTGTAAGATATACAATAGAATATCTTCTCACTTAACATCAATAATTCCATATTGGTCATTGGTCTGCATTGGGCTATGATACTAAGTAAAGCACATCCAGAAGGCAATTGAGAAGTAGTTTAGCATGGCATTTTTTAAACTGTGAATTACTGAGTAGAAGATTTGAATATGAATGTAAAATTAGATTTTTGAGTCTCAACACTATTATTGTTCCTCTGTCCTGCTTACTGATAGCTGCAATGACAAAAGATATATCTTACTGAAAAGTCCTATTCTTACTTTAATTCTTTAATAATTTGTTAATTACACAAATATCTATTGGTAATCAAGGCCTCTTGAGTGCGAAGGTATGGCTATATCATTGGTTTTGTTCTTCCTCATTTATGTTTTTTGAGGATGCTCATTGACATCAATGTACTGAGTGCCTTATCCCAAGGCATCTTATGGTTGACCAGAGAATGGGTTTTTTGTTGTTGTTGTTGTTGTCATTGTTTTGAGATGAAATCTGGCTCTCTTGCCAAGGCTGGAGTGCAGTGGCGTGATCTCCGCTCACTGCAAGCTCCACCTCCTGGGTTCACGCCATTCTTTTGCCTCAGCCTCCCGAGTAGCTGGGACTACAGGTGCCCACCACCACACCTGAGTAATTTTTTTTGTATTTTTAGTAGAGATGGGGTTTCATCATGTTAACCAGGATGGTCTTGATCTCCTGACCTCGTGATCTGCCCG